AAGAGCGGAGACGACGACACAGACGACGAGAAGCGACGCTTTTCTCCGCTTTTTGAACGCTTTCTTCAAAACCAAAACAAACGCCATTTCTGTCCACAAATGGACGTCACGTGACGTCACACACGACACCATCACGTGTTGTTTTGGTCGACTAGTGGTGTGACTGAGAGCTGCAGCCAATGCCTAAGCGCGACGTCAGCTGAGCTTCGCTCCCATTGGTCGACGCGAACGCAGTGTTGACATTGAGGCGAACGCTGCGCTCAACAAACGCTTCATTTCTCGTGAGAATGTCTTCGCTTTCGGTCGACATCTCTCTCGCGCTCATCAAAGCGGTCAGTATTCGCGTCTTCAGCTAATCCTTGAGTTAATCCTTTAATCCGTCGCTAATCCCGTCTCTAATCCCATCCGCAGGTCGTCTCGTGTTATGACGTCATAACATATCCCATCTATTTCTGGGCTCAGAAGCCGTGGAAGCGTTTGGAAGAGTCTTCGCGTCCGAAAGCGCGTCCTCTCGACCCCTCCTCGCCGTACAGCGCGTGGACCCGAATCTCCGACCGCTCGCCCTCTGAAGGCCACTTCATCGCCGAGTGTCGCACTGTCGACGAGTTGTTCGCGCGCGCCGTCCGACACTTCGGCGCAAAGCAGTGCTTCGGCTGCCGTCACGTGATCGCCGAGGAGGACGAGCGCCAATCGGATGGCAAAGTGTTTCGGAAGCTCGTCCTCTCGGACTACCGCTTCTTTTCGTACGACGAGATGGAGGCGCGCGTGCAGACGACGGCCTGCGGACTGTTGGCTCTCGGAGTGCGTCCGAAGCAGAATGTCGTCATTTTCGCCGAAACGCGTCTCGAGTGGATGCTCAGTGCGCAGGCGCTGTTCCGCATCGGCGCCACTGTTGTCACGCTCTACGCGACGCTCGGCGAAGAGGCGGTCGTTCACGGGATCAACGAAACGGAAGTCACGCACGTCATCACAAATCACGATCTGCTGCCCAAACTCGCGCGCGTCCTCTCGCGCCTCCCACACGTCCGCCTCGTCGTCTACATGGAGGGCGCGCGCCCCCCAAACCTCCCGGCGCTCGTGTCGGCGGCGGACGCACGACGCGTGCGCTTCGAGGCCTTCTCTGCGGTGGAGGCGTTGGGCGCCGCGAAC